GGAGCCCTACCAACCTGACAAAACAAAGCAAAAGTACATGCTAAATGTACATGCAGCGAAAACATTTTGCAATACCTGTCCCTTACGTTTACAAAAGCATGGGAGCATGGTATTCGGGATATGAGCGGTGATATGGGTGCCATTCATGGCTGCAAGAGCATTCTGAAAGTATGGATAGAACTTAGGATTGCGCTGAACCAGATACAGGCATTCATTGGATGGAAGCATAATAAACTCATTGGCTAGTTCCACTAGGCCATCAAGGACACTGTTGAAATATCTAATTAAGGACACATTAGCTATCCAATCACTATCTAATATGGTATAATGCTAAAGTAATAAGTAAGATATCAAATATCCTTACCTGCTTACAGTATCTCCACTTTTTTGAAATCTTTCTTGGACCTGACGGTTTGATGCATTGTGGGATACTGCCCAGACAAACATAGCCACTTATTCAGTCACAAAAATATGTTGTGTGCTTCCCAAGTGGCTACCCTGTTCCAACAAACTGCACAAATATAGAAATACCCGCTTTGACATACGAAGAACCTCATGAAAGCACTTCTCACTAGTAGTTGCTGATAATAGTTCCACAGTATCGGCTCTACCAGTTAGAATACAGGTACGGACTCTTACTGCTTCAAATTGATTATCAACATACTCCTTGACATTGGTGATAACTTGAAGCAAATTGATATGCTTGTGGGAGCACACTTCATTCGTTTCGGACATATCAGAATCAGAGTCTGAACAGCTCTCATCAGAGTCGAAGGTAGTGAGCTCATGGCTACTCTGAAGCAGAAAGTTTTCCGATTGTTGTTCATTCATAATAAAAAGTAGCTGATAGTTGAATGATACAAATTCGAATGGTGTATAATCTATTACCTCTTTGCTACAAATAATGTAATATTACTCTTCATTTTACTTGTCATAACATGTATCATATTTCATAATTCAAACCTAGCCCTACAAGAAATAGATACAGTAAAAATTTATAGAGGTAATAAAAATATATCATGATATAATGTCACTTACCGAACACACCCCTATATAAAAACTTTAATATGCCAAAATTTATGCTGTAAAAGTCCCTTTTATGCTATAAAAGTGACATGCCGAACAGGGCCTTATGTTTTATTTTAAGTATTGGTTGATACTTAGTTTGTTTTCTATTTTGTTTTAAGTATTGGGTGATACTTAGGTTGTTTTATGTTTTGTTTTAAGTATTGGTTGATACTTAGTTTGTTTTATGTTTTGTTTTCAGTATCGGGTGATACTTGATTATTTTTTCCAGTTTGATTGAGTAAGAATATGAGTGAGAATTTATGATCACACTCAAACACATGTACTTAAAAAGACCTCTGTCTTCCACTCTAGAAATGGCAGACTGTAGCAGACAGTATTTTAATATACTTGGTTGAACAGTTATCTTTATTTTCCTACTACTCTACCGAAGCCTTCCTTAGTAAGCCTAGAGTCACTAGTCTCTGGTAGATTATTGCTCTACTCCAATTGTTCTTGACAGCTTGACTAGCACCCTGGCGTGAACACATTACAGTTACAACAACTATAACAGGACTCAGAGTAGTACATATAACCTTATATGTCTGGTCATATAGTATACTGATTTTCCTTCTTTGTATAATAGCCTGCTTCTGAGTATATTGATCACAAGACTGTGGAAGGTACAAGGAAACTTTAAGTATATAATAACTTATCAGAAATATTCTTAACATGCTTCTTCAACTACTAGGTTCATCCCAGGATTTATGAGTTAAAAGCTATAGACTTACTATCATTCTAGTTAAATAGAATCTATGAATATATATTTATATTACTGTCCATGTTATTGCTATTTATTAGACTATAAGCTGCTCTTAGAATATATGCCAGTAAGGGTAACAAGGTAAGAAGAGCAGGCACCTTCTCCTAGTTGAATGGAGTAAAATATGCTAAAACTGATAGAGTTAGTAGTATGTACTATCCAGAAGGATTCTGCTGGTAGTCACTGGGTACTATCAGGACAACTGAAAGAATTTTACACCAATTGAGACTACTTGTACTTGTTTGTTATAGGTTTATTAGAGATTGTTTGTGGACTTCAAAAGCATAATTCTTAATATAGTACAAGAGTTTCAGAGATAAAGGACTATGGGTAGTGCCTACAGTGCCTTGTCAGAAGTATTCATGAAACATGCCTTACTAAGTAACCTCACCAAATACTACCATGCTAAATGCCACCTTGCCATTGATCACAACTATACTGACCATACCTGCTCTATACCACAATAGTACCACTTCCTCTATTTTAATAATTATATTCGATTGTTACATTATTTTCAATAGTTAACCGAACTGGATATACATCCAAAAAAACGTGCACTCTAAAGACCTACAGAAAAGAAATGACCACTGTTGAAAAAGGTATGATTATTGGATTTTTCTACTGCCTTCAGAATGTTGCTCTTGTTGTTCAAATTATCGGCCAGTCATAGACAACTATTAAAAGCTTCCTCACTCATGCATGTGAATGCCAATCACTGGATAATCTGCCTCATTCCAGTCACATACCAACTCTCAGCCAGCAACAGCATTGCACAATCATCTGAGTAGCCAAATCCAACCTGAAAATTACTACAGCAGATTTTAGGGATCATTATGCGCTGGGTATTTCTCTCTCTACTGGTAACATCTACTACCTTGTACTCATTTGAGTGATAGGATATGATTTCCTAACAAATTTATAGTTGATGGAATACTCAGAGAAGCCAATATCAAGAAATGGGTAGTCAAAGCAAGATCAAAGCTCAAGCTTGTGCATATTTCTAAAAGATTAGACTGGGCTAAGACTTATAAAGATTGGACAGCTGAGGATTTTAAGAGAGTTATTTGGAGTGATAAGTGTAGTGTAGAGAAATACAAGAATCCTAGGCAGTAGTGGGTTTTCAGAGAAGCTCGGAAGTAGTGGCCAGCAGATTGTGTTCATCTAAAGGAAAAGGATAAGGGAATTTCACTAATGGTATAGGGGTGCTTTTGGGGGAAGAGAAAAGATTCCTTAGTTTCTATTACCCAAAATATCAATAAGACCAGATATGTTAGGCTCTTGAGAAGACATCTTTTTCCTGTTATTTATCAGATGATTTCCTTTGGTATGCAACTTGAAGATTTTTTTTTCAGCAAGACAATATTTGTGTTTAGAAGGCTTATAGTGTTATGGCTTGGTTTGAGAGGAATTGTATTGAATTGGTAGACTATCCCCTATACTCTCCTGATTTAAATTCTATTAAGCATGTATGGGTTGAGCTTAAAAAGTGATTGCACTAGCAGTATCCAAGGATTGGAGATCCCCTAGGAGGAACAGAAGCTGTTAAGAAGAGACTTGCACAAGGGTTATCTTTGGTTTGGGAAACAATTCCTGAGGAGATTTTTGAAAAGTTGTGAAAATCGATACCTGATAGAGTAGCTGCAGTATTGGAAGCAAGGGGTAGTTATACAAAGTATTAGCTAGTTTTATTTATTATTTTGTTCCTTTAAAATATAAATAGTAGTTTATTGATAATTAACTGTTGATCATTGAGGGTTAATTATTGAGGATTGATCGTGCTCACAGTGCATGCGCACATCATTGACAACCCCACCATTGCCCCACTAGTCCCACCAGTCCCCTGGTGCAATTAAAAATGTCTCGGATCACAAATACTTCTGATGAGGCACTGTACTAGTCCTGCTACTAATATAGCTTATTGAGAGAATACTGTTGATCTCTGTAGTTTAGAATCAATATAGATAGAACTTAAGTGAAGAGAGTAGATATCTATTGAAGCTTGTATAGCAAATTGCACTTGGATAGACAGTTAATTAGTTAGCTCTCCTGGGTGACTTGATAGTTACCCATGAATAAGACTCTGATATACAGAAGTTTTTACTCATACAGTTGTACTAGTAATGCTTTACAGAAACTGATATTTATATAGAAGATTGTAGCTAGAATGTACTAATATCTAAGGCCTTTTGGGAATACAGTAGTAGTGCTGAGCAACTCTTAGTGGAGAAGAACATACTTAAATTAGTTAGGGTAACCTAATAGAAGAGCTTCTGGTATAAGTCTGACTAGTTTAATATTATACTAGTACAAGAGCTCTTCTACTACTCTAATACAATCTACATCCTCTGAAGACCATAATTGAGTAAAGCTTCAGCTTAATATTATTAAGTTTTGCTGTTTGCATTATTCTTTACATCTGCAAGAGCTGTGTGCACTAAGTTTGAAGTTTGATGTAATGGTGCTCTTAGGATCCATCTTCCTAGAGAAGCCCCTGTTACACTCCTTCTACAGAATGGAGGCTTTGTCAACTGACTCAGAAAGCACGGACAAGGTCTGAGTAACCTTGCCCACTGAAAGAAAGTAACCCTGGTTAACCATACCATCAACCAAAAGAGGGAGGAGGAGTGGGGAAGATGGGGAGGCCTTGAAAATTAGATGGAAGGGATGAAAAAAACAAAGGAGAAAGCTTTTGAAATAAAGACTTGAAGCTACCACGAGATAGAATCAAAAAACCCGATTGGCCACCGCTTAAAGCAGGATGGCATAGAGGGGGTGGGCAGTAGTTGTCGGTTTTAGGAGTGACCAGTTGTGTCCGCCAACACTGCTAATTGATACAAGTACTCGAGTATATCAAATCCACTGTCAATTATCCACAACAGCCAAGCACGGGGTGACCAATGCAATTGAAAATCAATACCAGAAATAAATTTAGACTAATTTATATACCCTTGCCGAAGAGGGGGGGGGGGAAGAAAAGTAATAAGAAGAAGAAAGAAAGGATGCAAGGAAAAAAGGAATTTGTGACATTTGTGCCAGTACACAGCGCAAACAAGGAGGCAAATAAGTAAATAAGTAAAGAGGGAAATAACAACGATAAGGTTAGCAATCACAAGCATTCCAACAAAAGGGGTAGGAGAACGAGAGTACAGTACGGGAAAGTCACTATAAAATATCACTTGCTACGGTGGACAATTGTTTCCGCCCTAGGATTGCCGGTAATAAACCTCTTGAAGGCAGCGCCGATGAAGCCATCCGGAGGCTTCTGGTCGTCGTACCCACTCGCCAGATGTTTCGCCCGGGCGCTCTCGAGATTGGCGAACATGGGACTTCCACGGCCGTCGTTACCGCCGCCGAAGCTCTTGAAAACAGGATCGTCAGTTCAAAGCTCAATTACGAGAGTGCGGGGCAAGGAAGAAGGGAAAACCCACCAATCTCTTCTTTCTCGGCGCCTGCTCTCCAATCTCCCTCCTAGGTGCATTCTCGGTGCCTGGTACCACGGTGACGTTATGCTGCGTCTTTGTCTGCCCCGGCACGGCGATTGACGGGACCTCGTGACCGGGCCTGGGTTCGACAGCTTGGGTGTTGAGGCTGCCGCTCGTGGGGTTTGGATTGTTTTGTGGCATCGTGAGTTTGTATGATATGCTACGCTACTCGTTCGCCTACTTCGCTTTTGGGGTCAGGGGTGTTCGTGTGCGGAGAAGCACTCGGGAAGCGATGGACTATATGCGGGAGTCTGGAGTTCAGATGAAGGTTGGAAGGCTTCTTAGGAATTGGCGGAATCGAAAGAAAAGAAAGGGTATCCGATGGGTGGATTGGCTATTATATCCATTCGCCCAGAGGTCAAGGAGATGAGGGGAGCCTTTGGCACAACCCGCTGCTCCTTCTCCTCCTTTCTGAGAAACGCCAGATATGTGTGTGTGTGTGTGTGTGTGGAAGTGTGGAAGTGTGGAAGTGTGGATGGGAGGGTGTGCGAGTTGCAATGTGATGGTTCGAAAACAGCAACCGCCGGTACGTCATGTGGGAATTGCGGGGCAGAGGCAGGGTTGCTCAATCAATGCAATATTATCGACGGTTTCTTTCATCTACTACGAGTAGTGTGCACGATTTTTCCCGACTACACTGCCGTATTGTAGTGAGATTGAAATAGTTGCTTTCTCACTAGGGGGTCCAATCTCCAGGGGGGCCGGTAATGGAGAGGGTTAAGGGGAGGTCGTGGACACAGTAACAGCAGATTGAGGTCTGGCGCCGGGCGGGGAATCCTGTCGTTTCGCGCCAGATTTCGGAGGTGAGGCTATGACGAGAGTATGGGGCCCTCTTTTCGCCGCGCAAATGGAAGCGGTGGGGAGGCCTGGTTCGGCCTATGACTACGGGAGTCCGAGAGGAAAGACAGGACAGTTGCGACCGGTCCCTGAGTATGAATTCGCACAGTGGGGTGATCCGCGTGCCTGGATCGTCGTAAACTGAGACAACTCTGAAAGGGTAACTGAATGGTGGATCCGAGGGGAGACCCTCCACGAAAGGAGCAAAGAATTGCCTGACGCGATTGATTTCCTTGCCCAAGCTTGGAATCACACTCCCTTCATGGAAGGGGAGAAGCTCGTTGCCCCAGGCTAAGCTTCGCTCGTACCATAACCCTCCACACTACCCCACCGTATGATAGAAGGAAAAAAGAAAACGGCCATCCATAATACCGGGAGCGCACACAATAAACACCCCTGGCTATCAATCACTCGAGCCCTCAAGGAAAGGAACTCTGTAAATACGTACTACCCAACATACCCGTGCACATGAACATAAAAAAGTAGCGGGTAGAAGCTCAGGTTAACCCCCTGTATTGCCCCTTCTCCGTCTTCTTCTTGCACCGCACCGTATCTTACAAAAGCCCTTCCAAACCCTTCACTGATACCCCTTCTGCTTCTTATGCTGTGGTCGCATAAGGGGGTATAGCCTCCCTAAATGATAATTGATGTTGTTCCTCGGTGGTGGGGCTTGTTTCTGTCATTCCCCCATCAGCAACCAACCCCGCTCGTGCTGTATCTCAAATCAGGTGGAGGCTTTATGACGAACCTTAGCGTCCATACAGCTCCTCAGCTGCTCCTCGATCCTCCCGCATCCCTCGGGCGCAAAGCCTTGCGACGCCCAGCATCCGAGCAGTGATGCCATGACGGCGAGACACGGGTTGACCTCCGGTTCATCGGGTTTTTTGATGCGGAATTTCTTCAGAGGGGGTAGGCGCATTACCTGGAAAGTAGGAGGTTAGCTTGACAGGCTTTTTGGTGAGGGCGGGAGAGATTGATTGGGTGTGGCGATATTCACCTTTTGTCCCATCTTGGCAGTTACCATGGAGGAGTGCGGTTTGTTGGGAAGGGGGGGATGGTGGGGGAGGACGACTCTTTCTTTCTTTCTCCCTTTTTCACCTTTCCCATTAGAGCCGCATACCGTCGAAGATTCCGCTTCTTAGGGAAACCTAACCTTATGAGTAACACCGGTACAGTCGCGACAAGGTAGTAACCGGACGCTGGTGGAAATATTGATGTATCATACCACAAATCCAGAAACCTACTACCGGTCTTTAAATATCTCCATCAATAATGATTATATGAAAATATCAACACATACTAGCGGTACAGACTTTATGATTTCGTATCTAGAGTTAAATACAAGAAATCTTGTTGGCTCAAACCTCCATTTGACCCATATCTACAAAGTCAGACAGGTCTAGTACTTGGTCCTTTCACTCTCTTTCCTAACTAAGGTCCTAATCTGATCTGACATGATCTATCATCCAATCAATCTTTTGCCAATCCAATCCTTCCCATTCCACACTAGCAGCCTGCACGACAGTGGCCTCTCTGTCTTTGACTTACTCTTCCAAAACCTTCTCTTGAGCCTTAGTTTCAACTTGTAGCAAACATTTTTGATTGGAATCATATCAGGTGAGTGGGTAGGCCACAGTAACTTTGGAATATGATGGAGCTGATAGAGACTTGTTGTTGTAGTAGAAGGATAGATACTATAGTTGTCTTCTACAATTGGACATCCATAGCCATATTGAGGTAGGATATAAAAAAAGGAAAGAAAGCATAGTTCAAGGATTTCATGAACAAACTACTGACTACTAAGACTGAGGGTATTGTGAGGAGAAGTTCGTTCACTTGGTACGTGCATGGTCATGGATATAAGTGGGTGGTATATGGTATCTAGAAGGGATTGTAATATAGAAGCTGTCAGTGGTAGAGAACTGATATAACTATTGCTAGTTATCTTAGTATGGCTCTTAACTTCCTCTTTCAGCTTTTTGTAGAATTATCCTTGGACCTCCTGGCTGACCACTACTTGAATAGGTTATTTCATTTACAAAACACCCATCTTCTAGTCTCTTGCTACCCTGAACATCAGCAAAAGGAAACTCTGCATCTGATGCCTAAGTGCTATATCCTAATATGTAGCATATTCAGTCTCCATCCATTGTGTCCTATTGTAACTGGCAGGGTCTGAGGGTCGGGTAGTCCAAGGCATATCATGACCAGAGCAGGCAAGAGTTCAGAGGCGAGGTCAGGGTGCAGATGTACAACTAAAGTAAGTTGTACCAGGTTCGAGGTTCAGGGGTTTAGGGTCAGGCTTCATGGATTCAAGAGGATGCGAGGTAGAAAAGAGGTGTAATTCCTAGGTACAGGTGTCCAAATTCAATCAAATTTTACTTATACTAGTCGCGCCAAACTGGTATATGATCTAGTCCCCCCCTTGGCAGAGGGTTAATGTGAGCCAAGGCCAACCTATAAATAAAAACAAGATACAGGGACCTCTGAACACGCTCCGCGCCCTCTACTTTCCTCTCGCTTAAAAACATTACCGCTTTCGGCCAGGCAAAACTCCAGGGTTTTGCGTGGCAACCATCTCCACATACCTTATTCCTCTCTTGCTTAGGCTTCAGTCTCTAAGTGCACAGCCCCCTCACTATCCGGCACAGCCCCCTTCATCATGGAGGGGCCTGGTCCGGGGCCTTCAAGATCTGGCTCTCGAGCCTCCAGCCGTGCCTCGCCCTATGAGTCAAGGGCTCCAACCCCCTCTCTCCCCGCTCATCTTTCCCTGATAAGGGAAGAACTAGCCCGCACTCTCCACCATATAGGATGGGCAGCCCCTCTAATTTCTCCCCGTACCGATTCTCAGCTCCAGGACCTGTCCGCTGGCGAGGTCATCCTTCTACCACTAGTCTGCACTGCCCTCTCTGGGATAGGCAGCATCATCCAAAGACTAGAGGCCCTTGAGCAGTCCTCTGCGGCTGCCCCCAGGGACCCCCACTCCCTCCACGCCTTAGAGGCCACTGTCCGGGACCTCTTCCTAAGGGTCATGGCGTCGGCCACACACCCCCCGGCTGCCCGATTAGGCCCCCCTCAACCTCCCCCCCTCCGAAACAGACAAAGCACCCCCCGCTGCCCCCCCCTCCCACTGCTCCTCCTGGAGCAAAGTACCGCCCCCCCCCAGGCTACGTCCTGGACATCCCGGTCGACGACATCGACTCCCCCGTGTAGGTTGATAGAGTGTGGTATGGTAACCCACGCACTTTCGCAGCCAGACATCCCCGCTCCTTTGCAGCTTTCCAGTTTGCCCAGGGTGAGTTCCCGGAAGAGTCTAGCTTCTGCCCAGGCCCCACCCCCTCCTTCCTCACGCTCACTCCCCCCTCCTCCTCCTACGCCAGCGCTGCAGTCCCCTCCAGGGGCCAAGTACAGCAGACCAACACCAAGGGCAAGAAGAAGGCGACCACCGCAGCCCAAGTCGCAGCGTCGGGCGGTGGCCCCTCCAGGGTCCGGGAGGCCGCCCCCTACGAGCTGCCGAATGTCGCTTCTTCGCATCCCGCATCGTCCCGGTCCCCCACCCTGACGCGACACGCCTGGCGGCCACTGCCCCCGACATCGTAGCCTCAGTCCTCTGGGAGGCCAACTGTCCCTTCCCCGTCTCGTTCTCAGCCACTGTCAATGCATGTGGCGTGATTATCCTCCTAGCTACTGATTCCCTCACGCCAGCCACCAGCTACTCCCCCTACTACGAGGCGCTTACCAACACAATCAACCAGTCCTTCGCTGTCGGGGACAATCCCTACCGCCCCTTCCGCCCTACACCCAATGAGGTGCAGCTCATCATCCACGGTCTTCCAGTCGCTTTCCTCCCACAGAACCAGACTGACCTCTTCCCCGCACTCGCTGAATCCATCAAGAACGCCAAGGATATCTATATCTTTGGTGCACGCTACCTCCAACCAGACCCCCTCCTCCGCAAGGCCACCACCTCAGTGGTCATCATCGTCGCCCCCTCCGATGTGGCCCACATTGGATCCAAAATCCTCCTCTACTCCAAGCTCTGCAACGTTCAGAACGCGGTCTCCAAGAACAAGTTCATGCAATGTAGGCATTGCTGGAAGTTTGGCCACCCTGCACCGGTATGCACTGCCACTATTCCCATCTGCCCGATCTGTGCATCGAACCACATAAGGGCCAACCACCGCTGCCCTAACCCAACGTGCCCCAAGTTGGGCTTCCTCAAACCCGTTATCGGCTGCTGCCCGGCCTCCCCTTCCAAGTGTGTAAACTGCTCCGGCAGCCACCCCGCTACTGACAGGTCATGCCCTTCTCGCCCCTCCCAGCCAACACAGCAGACTTCAGGGTCTGAGGCAGAGGATGAAGAGGGGGACGACACCATGGACCAGGACAACGCCCCTCCGGGCGACGCTCACACACCCACTCCCACCCTCCCAGATGCCAACCCTTTGGCCATCCCCTGACCTGTTGTTGCCCCGATACCACATGCTCCAGCACCCGCCTCCCAGTCTGCTGCCTTCTTCGCCTCCCTAGGGGAATCCAGTAGCCCGTCTCCGTTCCCCTCAACTTCCTTCCATAAGTGATAGTACAACCCATGGATCCAAATTTGGTGGACCAATTGCCGCCAACCCCCACTTTCCTTCCATTTCTTTCCATCATTCAACATAACTGCTTAGGGAGCTGGAATGTTTTTCTTTCCCTGTTTAACAGCCTTGCTGCACTGCCCTCTCATCCCCAGGTAGTGGCCCTCCAAGACCCCCCGGTCTGGCGGGGAAAGCTGCCGTCCTTTTCCATGTATTAATGCTTTTCCCCTCCTGTCGTCTCAGGCTGCAAGCCTAAGGTGGCCTTCTTCGTATACCAGGAGCTCCTTGGAGCCTACCCTGTTCTCCCATGTTTTTTTGATCTGCCTGACCTAATGGCACGGGATATCCACTCGCCTAGGATCTTGTTTTCATCGTCTCTTCATGTTTTTCGGATTTACAACATGTATTCCATTAATTTCGTGTCATCCCACCGCCAGACAGTGTCGCCGGCGGATGCTTTTCTGCTTCACAATTTCCCCACCCTTACGCTTGGGGACTTTAACCTACACCACCCCCTATCTGACCCTTTGCGGCAGTTTTCAGACCAGGATCTCCTGGTGTCCTCTCCCTACTTTGAGGCAGCCTCTGAGGCTGGCTACAGCCTTCTCAACACCCCTGGCATCCACACCAGGGTCCCCTTCGACCCAGCAACTAGGCCCGGCGTTCTTGACCTAGCCTTTGCCAACCAGTTCCTGGCTCTCTTCCAACATTCCTGGTCAGCTGATCTCCCCTCTACCGGCTCAAATCACCTCCACATCCTCATCAAGCTCTCCTCTCCCCTAATGTACAAGGCTCCTCCGAGCCCGGACTGGGATAAGGTGGACTGGCCACCGGTACTTGAGACCCTTCAAGGAGTCGACGTCCCGCCACCGCCTTCCCTCCCAACAGCCTCCGCCCTCAGCTCTCGGTTCGATCGCCACCTTGGTCCCCTTTCAGCCCTACTCCTGGCCCCGGCCCCACTAAAACGCCCCTCACTTTGGTCCAAACCTTGGTGGTCTCCCCTGTTGACCTCACTGCGCCGTGCTTTTAATGCAGCTGCCAGGAGGTCCCGCTCCACCCCCTCACCCACACTAAATGCCGAGGCCTGCGAGGCCCGCTCCCTCTACTTTAAGACTATCAAGAAGGGGAAGGCGGAGCACTGGAAGAACTTCCTGTCCAAGGTTGACTCCCGCTCTGTCTGGACAGCCAGAAGGCTTGCTGCTGAAAGAGCCCCTGACCACTTCCCCTCCTTCCCAGGTCTCTCCTCCCCCGAACAGATTAACGCAGGTCTTCTGAGTCACTTCTTCCCCTACAAGACGCCCACCTCCACCCCATCTATTCTCAGGCCTTTCCGCGACTCACCTCCCCTCACTCCCGAGGAGGTGCAAAGGGCCCTGTCCAAGTCCTCAAACTCTTCTGCCCTAGGCCTAGACCACATCCCCTATAGGGTCTGAAAGAAGGTCCACGTGGCTAACTCCTCCCTCCTCGTCAATCTTCTCTCGCCATTGCTATCTTTCAGCTTCCACCCCCCCTCCCTTAAAAAGGCTAATGGAGTTGTTCTCTCTAAGCCAGGAAAACCAGACTATTCCTCCCCCGCCTCCTTTCGCATTATTGTCCTCCTCCAGACTGTTTCGAAAATCCTAGAGAGGATCGTTGCCTCTCGCCTGTCCCTGGTCGCCCGCTCACATGGCCTAATCAAGCCAAACCAATGCAGCTCGCTCCCTGGGCTTAGCACCTACGATGCCTGCGCTGCCCTCACCCACGAGATCCGCTGCCTCCAGAGGCCCGGGCTCAACGCCTCATCACTCTTCCTTGATATCAAACGGGGATTCGACAACATCAATTCAACACTACTTACTACTTTCATGAAGTCCAGGGAGGTGCCTCCATACATCTGTACCTGGGTCCAATCTTTCCTTTCTAATAGACATTGTCGTCTTCTCTTTCAAGGGTCTCCTAATGTGTTCTCTCCAGTGCAGGTGGGCGCGCCACAAGGGTCTCCTATTTCTCCTATTTTGTTTGTCATCTATGTGTCTCCTCTTCATTTGGATATTTGCAAGAGAATTATGTTTTCCTATGTTGATGATTTTACTGTTACGATAGCTTCTTCCTCTTACAGGCGCAACGTGCAGCGCTTACAACACTACTTTGTAGCATTGAAGAGAAGGGCGGGTGCTATAGGCATGTCCTTCTCGGTGCCCATGACCGAACTTTCCCACTGGAGGACCTCTAGCGACCACGGAGCTCGTTGCTTCACCCCTGTCACCCTGGACGGCACTCTCTTCCACTCTGCTGAGCTGGTTCGCTGGCTCGGCTATTGGTTTACCCCTAGCCTGGAGACCTGTCCCCACTTCGCAAAACGATTGGCGCTCACCCAGGGGCTTTCGCTATCGTAAGACAACTCTCTCCTCCTGGTAAAGGCCTGCCTCCTTATCTTAATAGGAGGCTCGCCGTGGGACTCATCCTTCCCATCCTCTCCTACGGGGCGGATCTCCTGGTACCCAACTCTTCTGCACTCCATAAGATGGAGGTTTTTTGGAACCAAGTCCTCCGATGGGTGACCAACTGCTTCCACTCTACCCCTACCTCGATCCTCCCCTGCAAGGCCAGCATCCCCCCTCTGGTAATCCTCCTTCCCTACAAGCGCCGGATGGCGGGCTTGAGGCTGGTCTGCTCTCCACCCGAGATCAACCTGGCCTCGGCCAGGCTCCCCCTGTCCTTTCCCTCCACATCAGCTACAAGGGCCCCGGACTCCAACCAGGCCCTGTCTATTGGTCTGAAAGGCAATGCATACCCCCTCCTCTGGAAGACCCCCAGGCCCTCCCCCGCTGTATGATCCCACCTCCCTATTGATGGCATAGCTCATTCCCTTACCCATGTTGCTGCCAAGGGGTCTCTTCCGGGCCTGAATAGGCACCTGGTCCCCGGGACGACCAACCGTCTCCCCTCCTCACAGAAGTACTCCCTCCTGAAGGCCACCACTTGCTCCCTTCTCTTTCAGGACTGGGCACTACAAGCCCCCCTTCCGCTATACTATCCCTACCCCCCGCCCGAAGCCCCGCACCCTTTTATGGAGCTGGACTGCTTTCTTGCTGGACGAATACATCAGATGAGAGCTGGAAAGAGCTATCTAGCAGCCCATACCCCCTGGAACGAGCCAGACAAACCCACCACTTGCTCTGCCTGCGGCCTTGAGCCAGAGACTATGCAACACGCTGTCCTCTCCTGTCCCTCTAAGGGCCCCCTCGAGGCTGCTCCATATCCTGGGAGTAGACTCTTTAGGCCATCAGGCTCCCCTGTGTGCAGATAAGGACCTCTTATGGGGTCTCGCACGATACATTTCCAATACCAGAACCAACTTTCCCCCCGCGATGCGCGGGGGTAGGGTGTCACCCAGTACCAACCTTGTTTCAGATTGAACTGGTTTTTCTTTTTGATGTCTTTCCTGGCTTTATTTGACTTTCCTTGCTTTATGTTTCCTTCGTGCGGGAGGAGGCTGGTCTTTTCTTTTGCGATTAGTTGCCTTGGCGGGCGCAGTAGGTTGTATTACTCACAGGCGGGGATTGCTGGTGGAGAGAGATATTTTGTTATTGTTTGTTGTTTTTGATATTAAGGTTTTGTTTTTGCCATGGCTAGTGCTCCATGCAGGTTCTTGTACCTTAACAAAGAATCTATGAGTTAAACATAAAAAAAAAAAAAAAAATAATCCCTAGCTTTTAAAGTCTATCATCAGTGACCGGAGAAGAGATCTTATCAATATATTCATTCTACTTTACTTCTATCTTTACGAGCCTTCTTGACTATCTCCAAGACAGAAGATTACCAGGCCTAGTGTATACTTGCTTGACTATAGAGTTACCAACCTCCTAACAACCAGCAATTGTGGATCAATTGCACTTGTTGTACTAGGAGAGATTGGCTGCAGCATTCATAGGACTCGTAAGAGGTCAGGACAGGGCTGTAATAACTCAAGATCCGCAGGATTTGGATCTTTCTCAGGATTTGGATCTTTCTCAGGATTTGGATCTTTCTCAGGATCAGGAATTACCAGAAGAAGCTCTGATGGAACAATTCCGCCCATGGAAACAGATTCCTGCTAAGCTGAAGAGGGAGGTAGAAGATTAGTCCTATGGTTATTTAGGTGGTGCTGTTGCCCGGCGGGCTTCATTTTCTGGGTAATCTTGCAAAAAAAAAAATGTTCTGGGGCGTCCCACTTGGTTTCGTGTCCTACTTGGTTTCACTGACTATGAGCGACAGAGAAATAGGAGGGGAACCGGCTATTAGTTGTATGTGATATAGTTATAGAGGCACTGGGCTCATAACCTGTTCAAATGTATATGGTATGGCACTATCTTAATAACTGTGTACAAAAATACAATGCCGTAAAAAGAGTATACTGCAGGCATGCTAAGCAAGGAGGAGTTCTGTATGAAGGTAGATTGGTAGTAGTTATTGTCCCTAATTCTCTTAAGCAAGATGGGTGGTAACCGCTATTTATACCAGTACGCATCCTTTGCGTTACTAAAAGGAAATGTAAGGGAAAACATAAGTGTTAACATGTTTAACCATAATATAAGTAGGAAAAACATACATACTAATATGTCTGACCCTGAAGAACTGCCAAGAGAAATCCCATAAAACATTTGTAAATCTGAGGTGATATATATAGATAATTAGATCATAATTGTAAATCAAATGACCGATGACTGTGTATGATGATACATAAAAGGTAAGAAATGAACCCAAACACCAGATAACAAAACATGCCATCATTCCCTAATCATATAATAAAATATTAAATAAAATATATGTAATACATACTCTAGCTGTAGTAATGTTCGTAGTCTAGAAATATACTAAGTCAACGAATATAAGGTATTATCAAGGAGAATATACATATCAAACGAATTAGAATATTCAACAAATAAAGAAGGGGGTATTGAGGCAGTATGTATACTTAAATGATCTCAAGGTAGCCCTGCTACATTGAATTCAGAAAGGAGTAGGACTAGAGCTGGTAGATATTTTAGAGAATAAGTAGAGGGCAAGAGCAGATAGGCAGATAGATGTGTTTAGCTTGGAAGGGCCTCAAGTAGTACAGATTAGAAGTACAGAATAGATCAAAAGGGTACAGGGAATAGGATAGTAGAAATGATGGTAGTTAGTTATTTAGTAGATTCAAGTTGTTTGGAGGAAACTTGATAGGATAGTGCAATAGCAGGATAAAGAGGAAGGTGATAAAGTATTTGTATGGTCTTTAGAGGTAAATGCAGAACGGGAAAGGGGCCCTTGTAGCCTAGGGCAACATCACAGGATATTCTTCATAGTCAGGAAGGAGGCTACATAGTCACAAATCATTATAGTAGATAACTTTAAATATTGGATTTTTTTGTACTTTTTGTTTTTCCTTGTGCAAAGAGCCACAACTACTAGTTTAATGAGTGAACCACATAATATGACAATTATAGAATAGACAACAGTTCCTTCATTCATCTCTAATGATCTTGGTCCTTCCACTTTTAGATATCCTTTATCAAGAGCATTAGGCAAATCACTATTGGATAAATACTCCACCAGGTTATTGTCAGGAATAAACAGCAAGTTACAATCACCCCAAAGAGGTGGGATCCGGCAAGCACAACACACCACCCAACCAACGGGCCCCAGAGAGAGGACCCGACACCGGTACGGTATTTAGTCCAAATACGGTCAAATATTTGCTAACCGTCTTTTTCTGCTAACATACAATAGAGAGGTAGTGGCTATAATGCACCAAGACTATGAATTTCCGTGCCAAACCGCGAACCCCGCCCAAACAAGCAGAACATGAAAAGCAAATGATCCCCTTCCCATTTTTGGTATGTTATAAAAAATACATAAGGAACTACCACCATCGGCCCTCCCTCCCTCCCCATTGATTCTGATGCGATTATTTTCCGAGCGAAAGGGGAACAGCAATAACCCACCACTAGTAATCGACACCCCTACTTACCACCTCCTTGACGGTTGGTCTGAGCAGGATTGTCTGCAGAATTTGGTCAGTCGAGTGCTCACGGAGTCTGGACATCAGAGTGCACATATCATACATGTTCGTACTGGGCGGTGTAAGACCCCTTGATATCACACAAGGGCGGGTACGCCTCCACAATACCACTAGTGACCAGGTTGTTCAGCTACTCTTATCAGCTCAGCCCATCCATGCTACAGTCAAGTGGCGCAAACCCCGAGAAGATACTTATCCTGCCCAAGACGATCCAGATACCTCCTGCAGAAAGGTAATGTCCCAAAGTTCTTGTTGATCACATTGAGGATATTCTTAGCAGAAGTAAGGCGCAGGGAGATATTAGGTGCATCTGTTCGCCTAGCGTAATGCGAAACCTCCAACTGCTCTTTGTCAGTAAGCTATTGCTGAGAGATGGTGAGCCTAAGAGAATGTACATCATCGCGGACATAACCCTTCCCGGTGCTGCCGAATGTCTCGATCGCAAAGGTTTCTCCTTCCTCCATCTTGGTCTGGTCTCCACCCTTGACGATCGGAACGCTCTTGCCACCATGGATCTGGAACTGATTGATGTTGTGGCCGTTCAGGTTGCGAATTGGCTTCACTTGGTAGGTTGTTCCGCCAATTTCGACCTCGTAACTCTCCATGGTCTCTTGGATAGCAGCTCCGATATCGGACATCCGGACATCAATACCCGCTTCCTACGACCGCTCTTCAGCACAGCACCCCGGCAGGAGAAGGGAAAAAATTTACACGAATACCAGTGTTTGTAGCATCCTTCACAGCCGCAAGAAGATTATCATAAACAGGGTCGAAGGTCATGGTGAAAGCGCTATCGACGATCCTCCCATTCATATGAACACCAAAGTCCACCTTCATGACATCTTCCTGCTTGAGAGCTATTCCAACTCTCAGCGACAATAGACTAGTTATGCAGGGAGGGGGTAGGAGGGTCGACTAACTAATCTTATTTCCCGCATTAGGAGTGTAATGTGCAGCACAGTTATTAATACTAACGCCGGTGGGAAATCCCATCCCGGCAAGTAGAGAGTCGCCCTCAGTCAAACCGTCGTGGCCAGTCAAGGCTCGGACAGAGTTCTCAATCCCCTCGGTAATCTCGGTAAGGCTCATACCGGGCTTGATCCACCCCTGGGCCCACTGTCTAACCTGTCGGTGAACTTCAGCGCCCTTCCTGTAATCCGTCAAAAAGTCGTTGTTCATCCTATCCAAATGCCGTTTCTCTTCGTCCGTCTTGCGCTTGAGATTCTCGTCACGATAATCACACTCCTCGCCGACCGGAAAGCTGCCATTGGGGAATAATTGATCGAGGGAAACTCTGGGAGGGTCCGACTGTGCAGATGCGGCCGACTTGCTCTTCTTCTTTGGCTTCTTCTTCTTCTTCTTCTTCTTGGCAGCTGCGGGAGAAGGTAGGCCAGGTCAGCTATCGCCAGATGCGTACACAAACCCACATGACAGACTTACCACCCACTTCCGGAACTCCAGCTTCTTCATCTTCGTCTTCGGAATTTTCGTCAGGGGGATTGCTACCATTGGGGACCTTATCTTTCTCCTCCGAGACTGGTGCAAGGCGGGATGTATTAGCCCGGGTTCTTCAAGAACAAGGTGGGGTAGAGCAGGTGGAAAACAGGTAAGACAACCTTTCATCTTCTCGAGATCCACAGTGGCCGTCCCCACAGTGGTGCCCATCTTCCTGTGAATTGTGTCCTTAATTATTCGTTAGAAATGAGTGGCAGGAAGCAGCCTTAGCGTTTCGAAAGTGAAAGGGAGAAGGGAGACCCGGGGATTTAAGGCAACTATGATAAGTGTTTGAGATGGGGCTGTTGACAAGGGTGAGCCACAACGGCGCTACATTGCCAGTCTGGCTTGTTACTGGAATCATACATTATATATAAATTTATGCCAGAAGTCCCAATGCGTGAGCTCAGGCGCGGCAACGTCATTGGGGGCTTTTCACGCCTGTGTGCTAACGTTTCAAAGGTCCGCTCCCTCTCCGGTCCACCGCATTGTTCCTCGCCTTCACCAGCACCCCCTCACTTCACCTTTCAAAAAGAAAGAACAATATCCAGCCGGCATGCCCAGAAGGTAATGCCATCGCGCCTGACACTGTCAAACATCCTGAACGGAACCCGCTCTTTCTCCTCCCCCAAAGTCAAACTCTCAAGATTCCATGCCTCAGCCATATGCCTCGCCAATGAAGTAAACCACTACGAAACCCTCGGGGTACCATACTCCGCTACCAAGGCCGAAATAAAGAAGTAAGTCCCCCCCCCCACCACCGACCTATCCGCCCATTAACCCTTTTCCTGCCTTCCCGCCTGTGCTCATCCCTCAACAGGCGATTCTATGAATTAAGCAAGAAGCACCACCCAGACCTTAACCGCCACGACCCGCACGCTCCGAAACGCTTTGTAAGCATCAGCTCCGCCTATGCGATTCTCGGGAACGCGGAGAAGAAAGAGAAGTACGATAGGGAGGTCCGGCGGCGAGTCAGTGGGAGCATAGCCTGGACATCAAGCGCCAGTGGAAGCCCCGCGGGCGCAAGGCCCGCTCAAGGGCTGAGCAAGAGGCGAACACATTTCCACGGGCCGCCGCCGTCGTTTTATCGAAATGGTGGGTGGGCTACATTCAAGGGGAGTTGCGGCAACCCCAGACCTAATGCCAGGGTAGCGGGCGGCGCAGCTGGTTTTCCGAACGATGGCTACATGCACGATGTGCCCCATTTTAATTTCGATCTAAAGTATCGCCAGCACAGAACGCAGGAACAGAGGTGGGAATCGAGATGCAAGGCCCCTCGAGTTGTAAATGATGGGAAAGGGATAGTTATGCCTTTGGTTAGCGTGGCTATGATTTTGCTGGTAGCTGTCTCTTTGGGGTCCTATGGGCAATCGAAACAGGATAGAAAGTACGAGTAGTGTGTATTTTATTTGCGATAGTGTAGTAAAGGGAGTCTCGGCTTGGCATTTTGAATTGAGCGCTGCATCCTGACGCTGCCAGTCTTCAGTTCCAAGAAGCAGCAGCACCCTTACCGGATCATCTTTGACAACCCGGGGTTGGTAGCTTGGCACACTCCGATGGCGACGGCGACGACCTTCTCCTTCATCATCCCCTCCCATTGTCTGAAATCAATCACCCTCCTTCCTTCCCTCTCCCGCCGACCCATCACACGGGGAGCAAGTATCAAGGGGGCACTAAGCATAGCGCAGTTAATTTTATACTCACACACAAGCGGGGAAATATATATATATATATATATATCTAAATACAATATCAACCACCTCCGAGTAAGAATACTGATCCAGGAATGGACGCAACATGAGCCCCGAGACTGAAGAAGAAAAAGCATGGAGATATGATACACCGAGGGAGGTGTGCAAGTATAGACTACCGGTACTGTACTCGTACTGTACAAGACACTGTATCGTACGGTACTAGTGCTGTACTAATTGATCGTTGGTATTTCAAGTGGGTGTGATAACATTTGTACCGTACTTGTACCATCCCCCCCCCGCCTTAGCACGCAAAAGCAACTCCCCTTAAAAACCACGCTCTAGTTTAAAGGCTTCCTTCGTCCTCCTGACGCGTAAACTACTTGCAGAACTTCGTCCCCCGGAATTCTCTGTGCCTGCCTTCCCATTGATATTACTAATGAAGGCGAAACTGGCAGGTATGGCATTCCGGTAGCTCCGTCTGGAAGGCAAACAACTTCAGTGGTCCGAGGAAACGGTATATCATAATAGGGATTTTTGGTTGGATTGAATGGGGATGTATATAGTTCACGAGTGACTGGGGTCATGGATTCCAGGTTCATATTACAAGCCCTAATGGCACCGAATAGCGCCATATGGTCAAAATAATACCGTAACTCGCAGAACTGTTGGGGTAGAGGAGGATAGATATCATGGGTAGCGCGAACATACATAGCTATGGTATTGGGTAAAGAGAGGTAATGCTGATCAGTTCCAGCACTGTTCTAGCTATATTCTAGTCAAACGGGACTAGGATAAATGAATTTGAGTGAACCTCACAGTAGAAAGCCGTGGTAGAGATGGCATCGTTCGTATATCAGTTTACTGGTATGCATAGGGATTCCGTTATCGTAGTTTTCTCCCCGGCACCCTATGCCCCTATGCTGCACGGTCCTGTGGTCCCCAAGGGAGAGCGAGCAAGCGCACGTTCAGGGGCCAAAAGGGACTGAGTCCGATGGAAAGGAGCCCATTAGTAATCGAGTACTCGGGTAAAGTACCGGGCCTGGAGACATCACTCGGAATTTCACATTGGCTTGAAATTAGCCCCCTTTAGAGAGGAAAAGGGAGGAAATGAATAAACTTATCTCTGTACGAGACCAGTTTCACCTAGCGTGGAAAAAAAGAGAATTAGGAAATGAAAACACAAGGTATAAAAAATGAATCATAAGCTCTGGTGATCTATCATTCGAGGATTCTATACGGAAAAGACCGCATGGTGGCTTTTTTTTTTTTTTTGTTTCAGACTGAATAACTCTACAGATGAGAGAACAAACTTCGCCTCTATCAACTGGCCCCAATGGACATTGACATCCCTTGTAAATATCAGCATGCCCCAGTAGTATACGCGGCCAGCAGGGGAATCTCACAAGAGGCCTATCCAGCCATGATCCTGCACCTAAGCCTCAAATACAAAGTTAAGACCGACCTGTCGTGCCCCGTTAGCAGGTTGGGCAATCATTATTACGTTGCAGATATACTAGCCTTATGGGCGGCAGCAGACTCGTTCAAGCGCTGAGTATCAACTGAGGCACCAAGGCCAAAAGTGACACCAGGGCGGAGGAGCTGGTTGTAAGCAAGAGCAGCAATCCCCTGGTTATTGATCTTGGCCTTGAAGAAAGCGGAAGAATCGAGCTTGTACTTGCTAGCGATCTCGAGACCGACACCACTAGCGTTCCCGCCTTTGGCATCCCATGTGGCCTTAGCACCAGCCTCAACCTGGGCATTGACTCGGTGGTAATAAGAGGCGCCGAAAAGATTCAAGTTGTTCGTCGCAGTGATAGCAGCGGTATACTCAGGCACAGAGTATCCTACGGCGGCAGAGTAGCGAGTGATACTGCCCGTTACAACATTGTAGCCAACTTCAGCGCCAGCGAGAAAGCCGTCATGACCGACAACGACATCGCCCGTAAAGGAAGGACCTTTAAGGATATCGAAGAAACCACGGGCATGGAACAAGGGTTGACGGAAATGGATATTGAGCTTGGCTCCTTTGGACTTGCTTGCAGGTAAGGGGTTGATAATGGCCTCGGCCTTAAGACCCTTGGCAAGGGTGTTGTCCAGCTCAATCTTGGTATCGAGAGCGTTGGTGGTTGTCCAGGCCTGGGTGAGGGTCACCCCTATTGTAATAATTCATTAGTAAACAAAAAAAAGGACCATAAACAAAGGGGTCAGGGGAAAGGAAAATGTAAAAATCGCAAAAATAAGGGTTTCTTACCAGTCGATTTGTCGGTATACTTGGCCTCAATCTAGAAGCAATGAGAGGTACCCCATCAGTATAGATGTCACAAACGAATGGGAGGGACTGATATTTGTGCAGCACATACCTGACCACTGATAGCTCCGACCTTGTGGTCGTTCTTCCCCTTAACGGTGAAAGCAACGCCGTTAGGGGCCTTTGACTTGACCTCAAGGTTTGCTAAAAAATAAAAAAATAAAAGAACACTCTTGTCAGACTTCACCCAAACTGGTTTGCACCCTCGACTATATAGACCCGTAGTATGACAAACCGGAAGCCGTGTGATAAAAATCCCGTGTCAAGAGCTTCGGCCCTGAACATTAGCCAGATACTCCGACCGAGAGACAGAGAGCAAAACGGGAATAGGGAAGCCAAAGCCTAACTTACATCATTGGAGGGCTTAGCAATGTCGGAGAAGGCTGGGATAGACATGATGAGATGTTGACAATTTGTTTGTGTTTGGGAGTGCGGAGTGGAGTATGATAGACGGGTGGCGCTGTGAACAAACTTTTTTGATGTTGTTGTGGAAAAATTGTTGGGAAGAGAGAAGTTGGTTGACTTCTAGAAGAAAACCGATTGGGAGAAACATTCTGCAGTGCCTGGGAGTGCAAGCGGGTTAACTTACCTATGGTTAGCTACCGGTAGACCCTTTGCTTTTAACACCCAACTTTTTTCCTTCTTTTTTTCACCCTTCCCCACCGGTATGAGTACGAGTACGGGCACTGCACGAGTATCATACCAGTAGTCTATGGGACAATGCGGTACAGTACAGCATGGCACAAAACAAAACTTACCCGGAGCCCTTCCGATAGCAGATCACCACCACTGAGCAAAATCCATCCTATTGTCTGTCTGCATTACCTCCTCGAAAATGATATTTACTATGACCTGTTGTCCAGAGTGTATGATGGTTTTTCCATGTTCATAATGGAATTTCCAACGCGGCAACTTTACTACTTTACTCTTACCCGGTCTTCATAAAGGCACACACCCAGCTCTAGAAAAGCGGCCGACCTCGGCACTGCCCCTACAGCACCGTACTGTACTCGTACAGTATCATAATGCTTCCCCGCTTCGAGGAACACCTAGTCTGCAGGCACAAACTCTCCACTTTCCTTCACCTTACAAAGCACCCCTGGGCGCCACACTGAACAGGAGATGCTATGGCCAAGTGCTCCAGCATTGAAAAGCCATTGTGATCATGAGTTAAGTGAATAATAGGACATGGACAAACTAAACACTACTTTACAGGTTTCCACAGCTTTACACTAATGACATCTCGAGAGCGGGGGTTAGCAGAACATTAGGGGAAGTATCTAAGAACAGTCCTCTGACCACAGCCCGTAATTCATCCCGCTGAGAAGAATCCATTACATTTTCATCACTACCCGGTCCGAGCGAACGCCGCCGCTACCTTGAATATAAAAAAAAAAAAAAAAAAAAGAAGATATAGACCATCAGCGCTCGTTAACTTATTAACCATTCAAAACTATTACTCATAAGAGAACTCCCCATGCGTGAATATACTCATAGGTGTGATAACCTCCGCCCACTCACATGAATGATTTGATAGATAAAGGAAGGCGCAGTTATGGGTATGGACAGAGTGTTGAAAGGAGAGAAAAAGGAAAACAAACGTATTAGGATATAATAAAGAATGGTTTGGGCGATTAAGTGAGCAAACAGGCCCCACGGCCAAGAAGTAAAGTTTGGCGGTAATGGGTGTTGATACTAGAAGTTTGATGAGGCGTTGACGGTGCCATGGGGTTTGTGGTATTGGTCAAGTGTTGCCTTGAAAGGTGATTCCTCAGGGCTGGTGGTACGCATGTCCCGTCCTGGGGCAAGCGGGGAACCATCACGACGCATCAAATCATCCTCATCCACAGGATTCACCCTCCTCCTCTTCAACCGCCACGCGACAATCACCAAACCCCCGACCAAGAGAGCGCCTCCAACACCCACGACCGCACCTATGATAGTGTTCCTAGTGGCTGGTTTAAGGCCCTCGGTCCTGCTATTCTGCCCTTGGTTTTGGCCACCCGACGACGCTGGAACGGTTGGGGTTTCAACAGTGGTGCTCGTGAACACAATTGGGGAAACTTGACCAGTATTGGCACCGCTGGTGACAGTACTGTATATAGTTACAACCTGTCGACGGGTGGTTGGGCTCAGGGTTGTCATAGAGGCCGTGCTGTCCAAAACCGATGTCGAATCGTCATTTGGACCAGCAGTAGTCTCCCCCGGTTTATCGTCCCGCGAGGTGGTACCGGGTGGACTTCCAATAGATGTCGGACCCGTAGCGGTTTCCTGGGTGGTTTGTCTGGATGTAGTCGCAGATGCTGCGCGGGTGGTTGTGGGAGAAGGTTGCGACGTCGAAGCGCGAGCTGTCGTTTGTCTTGAAGAGGTTGAGGTTACAATAGTGGTGGAGGTCCTACCAGGAGAAGAGACCGTTGTTATAGCCGGATCACCGCTCGCCTGATCATCTTGACGCTTCTGCAGGGTTTCTTCTTCCTCGGCCAGCGAGCTACCCGCCAGCAACAAAGCAAAGATGGAAAAATAGAGAAGGAGAGTGGACAGTTTAGCCATGCTTCTAAGCCAATACCGGTACCACAAGGACAGGCACCTCCCCTTAATATCGGCGAGAGGGAGTAGCCGCAAAGGGCAAGGTAGGTAGAACGTGCGAGTGGCACCAGGGTCGACCTGTGCTAGGGGGGGGGGGTGACAGATGGGATAACGACTAAGGATTTACCGTCGTGAGGGGCACGAGAAGAGGGTCTTGAGGAGTAGTTTTAGCGGTTTGTAAAAAGGGTTCTGGCAGAGGAAGCGACAGGCTACAACAGGAAGGAAAAGGAAACAGGGGAAAAAGGGAAACAAAGTGTAAAGTAGGAAAAAAAAAAAGTGGCGGGTAGCTTAAGGTAGGAAGTTGAAAGAGAAGGAGGGGAGGGAGAGGGAGAGGGAGAGGGAGAGAATGTGCTTGGGGACTAGGAAAGAGCGACTGAAGGGGAAGGGGAAACTGGTTTACGGATTCAAGTTGCACAAGTACTACCGTATGCTTGTATCGTGGGCAAGGATTCGCCTGCTCCCCAGTTAGTTCAAAGAGAGTGACTACCGGTAAGTTGGGAGGGAGAAGGAGGGTGAACGAGAGAGTGAATGAGGAGAAAGAGGGTTCCCAATTTCAAGCACGATTTCTATTACAAGTAACCTTGGGTAGGGCAGACGAGACTTGGAGAGCAAGCATGATAGAAGCGGCGAACAACTCCACAAAGGGGTGCAGGGTTAACGGCGCCAGATGGCAGACACAGCCCACCGCCGCCCAAAGATTCCCGGAACGCCCCTGCAGCCAAAGGGCAAAAACAGCAACACTACCGTGAACCGACATCAAAAGCGGAATCCCTATTGGTTCATCCTAATGTACCTGTACCTCTAAACTTGCACAAGTACCCATAATTGCGATGCTGCGCAGCAGGAACGCCGGAACAGGAGAGGACATACCGGCACTCTACGGTACTCTACCGTATGAGTACCACGAGACTCCATCGCTCTTGAATCGGCCTGCAGACTTCACGAAATTATGAGTAGCCCGGCGTATGCGCTGTGTGGAGCACAAGATGATACTCGTGTCACTCGCGAGCAACGGCAGCGCTTTGTACTCGAGTATATGGCACAGGGTGCTCGAAAATGAGAGCGAGATTTCTTCACTGATCCGGTGGCCGTGTAACTCTAGCCGTATTCCCAGATACCTACCTGTATTGCCCGATGCAAGCACCGTGCCGCTAGAACCCGAATAGTTGAGCCTAGCGGAGTCAAAGGAGCTTGGAGCTGCCTTTGCTGGTAAGGGGAGGTAAAGGTCTGCCACTTGGGTCGGATTTCGCAGATCCCCCCCGCTCATCATACCTGTACTCGAGTACTCGAGCACAAGTATGCACACATAAATTCCAAGGGTCCCCCCGCGCTCGGGTTGGTTAAAAAAGCACAACCTCCCAGGCATGTATTCACCCATCTCCCATCAGGTATCCGGCCGGAAGCGGGGTCACCTGAGGTCCCGGAAGCAGCTTCCCGTTGTTCCCGAACACCTCTGTCTGTGCCCCGACGGTGTCGAATTCACGTGCCTCATCTGCACACCATTATCATGGCGGACGGGGGGCTCAATTCTTCTAGGCACAGTTCGAGTATCATACCGGTACTCGAGTATCATACCGTACGGTACCGTACTCGAGTACATGGAGGTGCATGGTGTTTCAGTGGTGGCGCTTTCTTTCTTTTTTCCGGAAAATATGTTACCGTGCTCCAGGACACGGTATTCCTTCCGGAGAACGAGGTACAGTCGGGAGCTTCAGAGTTCGAGATACATGACGCACCGTACTCTCTTCGCTAAAAGAAAGTTTTGGGGGGTCGATCCTCTTGAGCCGGCATCTGCTGTATCCTGGAAGGTATATGCAACTTGACTGGGGACCCGAAAATATAGTGATTTTGGCAGTCCAAAGAATACAACTACCGGTATACGCTTTTGGTACATCGAGAACTTCTGACATCCCGATAAGGGAGATTCAAAGCTCTCAGTATGATTCGAACAGAGTACACGGTACACCCTGCAAATACTACCCGTTTTCACAAGGATCCGGATGCCTTGGCGCCAAGATATTTTTGCCCACATTGTGAATACAGTGCAGACCATGATATTGAAACTATTTACTATCCATCAAATTTGTTTCCACTGTTTTGGCTAATACATTGAGCGAGAATAGTATTAGGTAGTGTAGATACTTCTCTATTAATTTCCTCTATTGTAGTCTTTTACTATTTCTGCTTCAAAACTAATTTCATTTTCCCAGCTGCATCAGGAAAAATTTCAACTCGCGTCCTGTACGTCCTGTGCGTCTGACGCACAGGACGCACAGGACACAAACCGTTAATCAGGACGCACCAGCGCTGCCCCTGGCGTCTGGACCCGTGCTTCTGCGCCTCATCGTATCCGGACGTTATCTGGATGCTGACCCCTGCGTGCCATGCATCCTGAAAACTGTCACCATCTTGCCCCTGCATCCGGACGCCCCTCTTTGGGTCCCAGTGGCGTCCTGAGTCACCCCAATTCTTCCGCCTAGTATTCCGACGGACCTAGACTGCCCTTTGTCGCCTCGGGAGATCCCTCCCGCTCTGATCCCGTCATCATCTCGTCAGGAGCTCGTGATCTATATCTCCCCCCTCCTGGTACCCCACAATGCAGGGCGTCTGCGTCCAGATGATATGACTTAACCCCGGACGTTGTGACGCGTTATGTTCTCCTCCAGATTATCTTGCGCCTGGCGCTCACGTCTGGACTTCTAGACTTACCTGGTGGGGTATCTAGATTTGGCACAGGCGAAACTGGCCTGGTCGGGACGCCTTCACTGTGAGCCTACCCTGATCGTTTTTGGAGTCCAGAATTCTACGCCAGGTTTGCGGCGCCTTCGGAATCCTGGGCGCACACTTCTTATAGAATCTGGATGCTGTTCACTACAGCGCCTCCAATATGGAGATCTGCTCACATTTGACTCATCTTTATTGACTTGAACTCTACCGGGCCATCCCGGCTACGCTATTACATCTGGTGATGTTTACTAGCACCAATTTTCTCCCCCCCCCCCTCACGGCTTCTTGCCATAGTTGCTCAAACCCTTTCATTATGAACATGCTCTTTCTGCATCTGTCACTCCCTATTCAGGCAATGCCATGAGTCTCCTGGCCGGTGCCCACATCCAGCGCCCTGTCGCCATCTCCTAACAGATCACTAGCGTCAAAATCGCCCCCTTGTACCGTCTCCACATTCTGTCAATCCTGCAGACTGAGCGAGAGCTGAGAGCTAAGGTGTCTGAAATCAATATTCTGACTGTCTGTCGCCAAACGTTCTGTGACTTCGAGGGGATCTCCTTGACTTGTCAAGCCACAATTGAGAAACTCCAGTCCGTCACCATAGGGTGTCTGGCTGCTATCTGTAGTGTCATTCGTGCCCTGCGACAAACCCCTGCTGCGCTGGAAGCCGAACCCAGGGATCATGGGCGAGTCAGTAAGTTCCTGGCTATGGTGATAGGGCTGACGCTGGGTGGAGTTCGATTTCCAGCATTCTAGTTCTGCGCTCACGGCGTCCCAGTCATCGTCATAGCCTTCCAGCCGATCCTGTTGGATGCCATAGTCTTGCTCCATCTTTTTCTCGATGGTTTGACGAACGCTTTGTACAATCATCTCCTGAACTCTGATCAGACATTTATGCCAAGTTTGTCTCTGCCGTTCAAGCAGGTCT